CGGCGAATGGTGGGAGCATGGGCATCATTGGTCAGGTGGATGCCCTCATCGTAATTGGCGAAGTGGCTGTGCTTGGGCCTATCCTGATCTCGAGGTCGCTAGCGGTCCCCTGCCTTTTGGGTACCGATTTCCTTAAGAGGATGCCCATCAAAATCCTCGTTGACCAGGGTTGTTTGGAAATGCCGTCGGGTCAATTTTTTTTTTGCCATCGCTGCAACCACATTCGGCAGCATGCGTCATGGTACAAACCGTTGTTGATGTTGCGGTGGAGATTCCACCGGGATCCCAGATGCTTGTACCGCTACGCTATCGTAAGGCAATTAAAAGTGTTGATTCAAGGGCTGGGGTTCTTTTGACCCCATCGAATACGGCGACTCGTAGGCTGGCGCTAGTTGGTGCACAGATTGCCCTTCGATTCGACCAGGCCCCGTTGTTGCAAGTGCTTAACGGGGGCCCGGATGCAGTGGTGGTTCAGGCGGGCATGGTGTTGGCTCACGCCACCACTGCGTTTAGTGAACATGATTATGTTATGTCGCAGACTTTTGTGGGTGCTATTGATCGCGTTGGGGTCACGTATAAGATGTGGGCTGAAGCTATGTGTCAGGAGAATTCACAGTTGTCTTTTAAGCAACGGAACGACTTGCGGTTGCTCTTGTGCAAATTCTCGGACGTTTTCAGTAAGAGTGAATTTATTATCGGTCGGACCTCCCTGTTGCATCACCGTATCAACACAGGGGAGGCCGGCCCTATTCGTCAGAATTCGTACCGTTTGAGCCCAGTGGAAAAAGAACATATACAATGGGCGGTCGACAACATGATGGCCGCCGATATTTTTCCATCTAAAAGCCCTTGGGGAGCTCCCGTCGTGCTTGTTAAGAAGAAGGACGGTAGTCTTAGATCTTGTGTTGACTTCCATAAGTTGAACAAAGTTTCTGTGGCCGACGCGTACCCGCTTCCACACATGGACGACTCCCTGGATGCCTTGCACGGTGCGCGTTTTTTGTCTACTCTCGATTTGTCTTCGGGGTTTGGAAACTTCCCTTGACGATTCATCAAAGCTGAAAACCGCGTTCCGCACGCCCCAGGGACTCTTTCAGTTTAATTGCCTTCCAATGGGCTTGAATTCGGCTCCGGCCACCTTTCAGACACTCATGGAACTCGTCTTGACTGGCCTGCAGTGGGACTCTTGTCTCATTTATTTAGATTACGTTATTGTGTTCAGCCGCACGTTTGACGAACATCTCCGACATCTGCGTTCTGTTTTCGCTAGGATGCGCTCAGCCAATCTTAAATTTACACCAGCGAAATGTCATTTATTACAAAATTCAGTGTGCTATTTGGGTCACATTGTTAGCACTGAGGGCATCGCCACAGATCCGGAAAAAACATCCTGTGTGCGCGATTGGCCGAACCCCAAGTGTGTGGGTGATGTGCGCAGTTTCATTGGGTGTGCGTCATACTACCGTAGGCTTGTGCCGCAATTTGCTACGGTCGCCAAACCCTTGCATGCTTTGACTGCTAAGAATCAAAGGTTCCGGTGGGGTCTGGAGGAAGAGACAGCGTTTTTAGCCCTTCGTGAGCTGCTGTCGGATGCGCCCACCCTCGAATATCCCCCGATTTCTCCCTGCCATTTATCCTGGACACTGATGCCAGTGACACGGGCATAGGCGCTGTTTTGTCTCAAGGTAAAAACGGGGTTGAGAAGGTGGTCGCATACGGCAGCTGTGTCATCTCCCCCACGGAACGTCGTTATTGTGTCACTCAGAGGGAATTATTGCCCATTGTTTATTTCATCCGACAATACAGGCCTTACCTCTACGGCAGGGAGTTCGTTGTTCGTACGAATCACGCGGCCCTCCAGTACTCCCTGAACGTCGAACAAGCTTCTGGCCAACTTTCACGTTGGCTTGAAATCTTGCAGGAATTCTCGTTCCGCGTGATATATCGGAAGGGTGCTCGACATTGTAATGCAGATGCCTTGTCCCAGTTGCCTCAATCGCCTCGTTGTCCATGTTCGTCGGGGGCAGGCCTTTGTAGACCCTCAGTGTTGCAGCCGGCTGCCGTTATTTCTGCGGTTGCTGGTTCGGATTCCGCTGGGCCGGCTGCGCTGTTGATAGCGTGTTGCAGCTTGCACGCTCTGCTTGGGTGCACGAGCAGCTGAATGCCGATTCCTTAGGGGTCTTGCGGGGTCGCGTGGAAAATGCACGGGAAACTATCGCGTCAGCTGATGGGCCCCGATTGATCCTTGAATGACGGCCTTGTGATGTGGAGAGAGGACATGTTGGATCGCTGGCGGCTTGTCGCCCCCACCACTCTCCGGGGTGACTTGATCCGCGCACTGCACAAGGATAAGCTGGTGCAACTCGGTGTCCAGAAGTCCCTCTTGATACTGCAGTAGGACTATTATTGGCCAGGGATGACAGGCGATGTTTCCAGATGGTTCCAAGGATGTGTTGAATGTGCGTGCAGGAAACCGCCACAACGGAAGTCCCATCCGCCGCTGCAATCCATTTCGGTTTCGCGTATCAACTAATTGGTGGCGCTCGATATCCTTGGGCCCTTTCCGGCTACTGTATGAGGGAATACATTTATTTTAGAGGGGGTAGAATATTTTTCCCGATGACCGATGGCTTGGCCGCTGCCTGACCAGTCGGCGGCCTCCATTGCGGAGGCGTTTTTGTACGGTTATGTGATGGACATGGGAGCCCCGTAGCAATTGCTCACTGACCAGGGGCGCAATTTCTCATCTAAATTGCTGCGTGAGGTTTGCGACGCTTTGGGTACTAGAAAAATTAGGACGTCACCGTACCACCCACAGACGGATGGGATGGTGGAGTGCCTGAATAGAACTTTGACCTCCATGCTCTGTCAGGCGGTCGACGCTGGGCAGATGGATAGGGATTTGCATGTGCCAAGTGTACTCCCCGCGTATAAGATGGCCCCTCATACTTCCACGGGGTTTTCGCCGTTTTTTCTCTGTATGGGAGGGAGAATGTTCCCCTTATAGATGCCCAATTGGATTTGTCACTGGATAAAGGGAAGTCCAGATTGTCTGAGCATGTGCAAATTTCCCTACAGCGCATTTTTACGGCTTGAGAGGCAGCCAGAGTTAACACCGCCAAAACACAGGCGCGTAATGAACGCATTGCGGGGAAGTGGGATCACGTGTTGGCATGGTCCATCGGTGACAAAGCATGGTTGCATTGCCCCCAGGTGCCGGTTGGTACATCTAAGTTACCTAAGCCCCGGCAAGGACCCGTGGAAGTGGTCGAGGTGAAACGGCCACAATGTGTGCGTATCCGGGTGGCCCGTCGCCATTTCTTCGTCCATCCTTCTCGTTTGAAGCTGTTAGTCCCTCCATGTATCACCTCTTCATCTCCGACGATTGGCCTGCCGGTGTCTGATGTGTCCGACGGGCCGGGGATGGTGCGTTCGGACGGCATGTGTCGGAAGGACTGTGTCGTGCCGTCCACAGCATCCGGGCCTGTGACCATGGACGGGGCTCGGGACCTCGCCGGGATCGACGATGCGCCTGCTGCTGCTGCTGAGCCTGCTGCTCCTGTGCCTCCTGTGCTGCAGTCTGCACCCCCGGTTGACCCGGTGGTTGGGGCGCTGCCCGAGCGGGAGCAGGAGGCCGTCCCCGTTGACGGACCAGCGTTGCGGACTCGGTCCAAATGCTTGCAGTTCCGTTGATCCTTGCTCTGGAGTTGCTCGGGAATGTTGGAGTGTCTAGGGTTGTTGTAGTTTTGTTCCCTTCCTCTGTCATGCCCCTTATATATCCCCTTCTCATTGTGTTCCCTCGTATTGCGGGCTGTTTGTTCCACGCGTTGCCGCTCTGTAAGGTACACGTCACGAGTCCTCTTTTACACCTCTTTTATTGTGCGCATATGTGCTCTTACATGTTACGTGAATATTAGCCGGGACGGCTACTTTTATTATTGCAGGGGGGGGGGGGGGGGGGGAGTGATGTAATGAGATAGTGAAATCTAATGGTTTATAAAGGGAAGCACGGGTACAAGCACCATTATAAACATTATCCAATCCCCAAAGGGGAAGGTATCTAGGCGAAAGGTGAAGGGCAGGGCCGGCCGAGAAACTCTGAGAACCAGCTACTCGCCGTCATCTCTCTTCGTCGTTCAGCCATGTGGCGGATCTCCGGCGGAGCTCTGCCGCCCACCCCGGCACGGCGTCAGCCAATGGCGAGACCGGGAGCAGACGGGCGGAACCCGCCGTGTGATCGACCGTGTGTGTAGTCTGTAGAACGTAATATCTAAGTGTGTACTTGGGGAGGAAGCCGATAACGTTGGCCTGTTCCATGCCGTACGTGGAAAAAAGAAGAGTACCTTCTACACGACTTGTGGAAGTTGCTCATCACAGTATTACTAAACTATAAATGTGTAATATCACGATAAACTATACAAACAAATATATACATATATATCTTTCTATCGAAAACAGTACTCACTTGTGCAAAAACACACTAAAATTTGGAAATTCTCAGAAGCAATGCAAAAACATTATTAAAGTGGCAAAAATGTTCATATTTAATTTAAGTTACAACTTTTTATATAACTCACTGTGGTCGAGTGTGTATAGTTGCATTCAAAACTCATCAAAAGATGCTAAAAAAGGAATTGGCCAAACATCCCATACAGGAGCCTCAATGAGGCTTTTCTGAGTTAATCGTAAGTTTTATAAATCATGACTTTATTTCGCTCATATTTTTTTTACACTTGCGCCGAAAAGTTACCTTCATTATTTTTTATGGTCCAAGTTTTTTTTCCCTGCAAGGAGATTTAATTTCTCAATTTGCCCCTCACTTGTTAATAAAATTAAGTTTTACCAAAACAGTACTTAACTGTCCCCTGCCATAAGAATGTGGAACTCCAACCACTGCCCGGAGAAAATGCAGCCTCGTCGCGGCACGTTTGACACATTCACGTGCTGTTTTTGTTTGGTTCGGCACTTGTTAAAGTTAGACACCGGCACCTCCAAACGCCGTTCTCTGGTGGGCGATTGGCCGTGGTGAAGGCCCCGCCTTCCACATAATGGCATGCAGCCCGCGCACCGGCCGGGTGCCCTTATGAACGCAGCGATCATCACTACTGATGTAGAGCAGCGCTGCCTCATGCGATCCTCACCCAGCAGCGTGAATGAACCGCTTTCGAGGACCTCCTCCCTACATTGCAGAGTGGGTGCTCATCTGCCCGGGGTAAGTGCATCTCGATACGCGCATGTCATCGCCAACAAGTGTGTGTGCTCATGTCTGCGTGCGTGCGTGCATGTGGGGCAGCTGTGGCGCAGTGGTCAATGCACTGCGTCTGCGAACCCAAGTTCAATTCTCGCTCACGGCCAATATCGGTGTCGATTAGCTGAACCGGTCCTGAGCCTCCCTTATGTCGACTCAGCCTGAAATGGGCACCTGGTGCAGTGTGTAAACATCAGCACTGGGGAGACAAAGGCGGGTGAGCGTAGTGCTGGCCACCCACCTCTGCTTGTAGCGTGCCTGCCTTAATTGGTGCTAACATAACTTTTTCAAAACAGTCTAGTCAAGACTATATGGTGGATCTGTGTCTTTATGCGTAATCGTATATTGTAGTGCTGTGTTCGAATCTCGCGCTTGATTCACAATCAGAAGGTTGCGGCTTCGGGTCTTTGTAGCGGTCTACTCAACTCATTGCAACCATCATTACCTGTCTGGGGTCGATAAAATAGCTACTAGTTTTTTGGAAAGTCAACGGTGTTTTTTTATTTTCCTGTGGAAAGTGATGGGCAAAACCTCTGTGTGTGATACAGAAATGTGTAATTTCTACTCATTTGATATACGAGACACCGACTGAAATATACTGCGTGTAAATACTGTACCGATCATCTTCATCCGAGAAAACTTAACTGAGCCTCAAGAATCTTTTAAAATCAGGAGGATTTTTTTATTATTATTATTATCTTCGTCCATTTCCATTAATGAGCGTCTGAAATGAATCCGATCGCTCGCGGAAAACCCACACATTGTGTACAGAGTCTCGGGAAATCAGATCATCAAAGGCAGGTGGTTACAAGTCGTTGCATATTTTTGCTGCCCTCATGAAGCGTGCAATCAAATGATCGTAAGCCTCAATCAGTTTGTTTGGATTTAATTATTTACTTTTACCTTTTTTATTTGATTTTTATCAGGATTGAAAATGGGGGAAAATTACAACAACGCTGTTAAGTATTTCTGTGATAATTATACATAAATACAATACTTATAAATTAAACTCATTTTTATACATATAAATAACAGGTAACGTTTCTGGTAATGGCTCTTCTTAACTAAGGTGCTATGAAGAAGGGACATTGCCCAAAACGTCGCCTGTCATGGGTTTATTTTTTTATTTTAAAGTCACAGTGCTAGTGGGCGGATGTGATGACATGATTTTTTTTTGTTCTTAAAAAAGTCATTTATTGTGCAATTGAAAATGCGAATGTTTTTATTACATGGCGTTTCGATTCCGTCAACGGGCAAAACAACTACCTCAATCAAGTCTCCCAACACGATACGTACAGCATATGCGTTCACATACTCGTCAACCCCTTATCAGTGCCTACCTCATTACAGACCAGGTCAGACCTCATTGGTCACCCCCGTGCCCTTATAAATTTCAACGTTCAACCTACAAAGTCCCATCACAAGGGAAAAACATAAACAGATCGATATTTTTGCCCGTATTGAAAGAGCTGTACGCCGTATAGACCTGAACATTATATTTCCCTGTACAAGAAAACTAATACACCGTATGAGTTGACGGGTATACGTTTATCTAAAGTCACTCGATACTGGTAGTGTCAACGTTGCTTCTATAATTATTTACACAAATATGCGTTCTACATATATGGTGTATGTAAATGTTTTGAATGAGATGTATGAAGATTATACACGCTGGTATCAGTCTCGTAATACAAACGTAGCTTAGCATCATGAAGGTGAGATCAAACATCGGATAAAGTTTTCATGCGAGACCTTCATATAAATTGAATACTTACAGTACATTGTACAGCACGTACATATACTTCGGTTAATACATTCGAGTGTACGTGCGTGTGGTATATAACGTAATATCGTAAGATGTCATACGAATACAAACATTGTAAATTTGGCATTGTAAAAGATGCTTTGTCTTACAATGCTCTTTGTTTTCTGATGGTTGTTCAACCGAACCTGGAAGGGAGCGGCGGCACAGTGATTGGCGCACTACGCTCTGAACCCGGCTAACATCAGTGGCGACTGATATCTGATATACGCATTAAAAACCGTTCCTGGAGTCCCTCAACACACTGCCCAGTGTGGTGAAGTAAGATTAAACAATCCTGATGACCGACGTGAGTGGGGGAGGGGGGTCATTCATCCACCAGTGGATTGGTAAGGGTCAGCAATATATATTTATATATAGGCAAAAAAAACATGTATCTGAGCATACATACATGCACGCCGTGCCGATAGCACGCATGCTACACCAAATACCATTTAAAACATGAACCAAGCGATGCTTGTTCCTGTGATTCTAATAGCGGACATTCCAAATGGTTTCGTGCGGTGTACGTGGTGTAGGCTCCCGTTTCATCTGTTCCCTGCGGGCACTGCGTGCTCTGACCGTGAGAGAGGCTCGGCAGCAGTAGCAGCAGCAGCAGCTTCTGTGTAAAACCAGACGTGGAATAACAATGGGCAGGCGACTTAACAGTGAACACGGTCAAGAGTCAAAGTGGCTCCCTCCTCCCGCGAGCTATGAGTCCCGCAGGCATCGCCTTTCGCGGCGCTCAGCCTAGTGGAAATTGTACCTTACCATGGCGGGGAACTAGATTGTCCCCAAGACAACCAATGTGGATGTCTTACAACGTGGTATTTATTGTATCGACCATGGTGATGATGATAATGATGATGTGCTGAGTCGACCGCCGACCAAATGTAGCTGACGATCTCGCTACTATATTAGAAGTGCTCGCTGCGTAATAATGATCGTTGTCAAGCCACCGCTGGATGAAGACCTCCCCAACGCCTGGCTCGTCATTGGGATGAGCGGGGGTGGTGGCGGGGGTGACCATGCTGAACCATGATGGCCAGTGCCAATTAGTGAAGGGGTGGGGGGCAGGACCGGCTTAGATGTCACTCGCCTCTGAAAGTATCCCTGGCCGCGAATTAAACTCAGTTCAGCGTGCTTATCTAGCTACACGTAATGGTATCTTAATGCGAAACTCACTGACTGACGTCCACTCCTGTTGATCCTGTTGATCTGTGCCAGCCAGTGGCAGTGAGTACTGGACACTCGCAGTCGAGCCATGTAACATACACAGGGATATTATAAATCCGCTGCTGCATGAGGACCTCCCCACGCTCTGCGGGTCTATGGGGAGATCGGGTGTGGTTATTTAATGGGTAGGGGAAATTACAAACATTCATCGTTATTGCCAATTCGTGTTATCCGCTGTAAAGTGGATATTAAAGACAATTTTTCTCGCTTGAAGAAATAGGTAATTGTGTTTGAGTGTCAAAAATCAAATCCTCACTGTGCTCATCAACTTTTAATAAAGACATTTTTTATAATTGTTGCTCATGTGAGAGTTAATACATAGCCCGGGCTAATAACTATTTTCCAATTTCACATTTTATAAGAAATGTAATTGTATAAATTTAACACGTAGGCTTTCGCTACCAATATTATTATCCATAATTTATATAAATTGGCTATTCCTGGTAGAAGAGGGTGCATGACATACATTTTACTAACTTTATCTGACGCAAAAAAAAATTCTGCATAATTTAATTGCGTAAATATTGCATTAAACAATTGGGAATGTACGCTATTAGCATGATAGGGAAACAGCCCACTTAGATTCGCGTATATAATTCAAGGTGGACGTGCGTGAATTACAAACACGTACAAGCAGGAGAGCAAAGTGAACACGTACAAATGTACATAAACAACCCAACATCGAAAGAGAATGCAATTACCCATGCAACATAAATCATACAGCAAGACTCGCGTTTTAACACGTCAAATCAACAACGTATATAACATCCGACATACATTTGCAAAAGCTTTCCGACGAATGTCCCGCATCACTGAAGCAGAACGTATACACCTGCAGTGGTTTGGGAAACAACTTGCACGACTTGACTTTGATTTGTCACTTGAAGCGTTACGGTTAAACAGCCGCCGTGGTTTAGCACGCCACACGTTTGCGTCAACTGGCAGTGTAAGTTAATTCTATAGCATGATCTGTGCCCGTTCCAGACCAAGGTAACGTACTGCCCCGCGCTGTTCCAATACCCAGGGGAGCCAGACGCCTTGGGTGTAATGCCAGCCCGGCGCTCTCTCGTTGGCGGTGTCATCACGGTGCCGTGGGACAGACAGAGAGACCGGAGAGTTTCTGCAGCTCGTTCCCCTCCCCCCCCCCCACCTCTCTCGTGTGTATTATCGCTGCATCCGCATTATCGTTCGGCATGATGTCCGATGTTTCGCTCCGCGTGCCGGGAGCTCCTTCTGGAACTTAAACGAGTAGCTACCTCGATTATACGGTATAGCAAATAAATAGCGTCGGCCTCCATCAGACACCATTAGCAACAGCTGGCAACCCCTATATAATCCTGAGAGAGAACGTGAGCTGCTCTAATCAGTTCGGTGTCATGAGCTCGGAAGTTCCCCGAGTCGACTATTATCCCAACGGGATTTGCATCATATATCTGGAAAACATTACGACCCAGTGACTATTCAGTGAGTGTTATATTAAACGAAGCGGCAGCGCGTTTCGCCGCTTGTTGTCGATGTTCACAGATTCAGGAGAGTGGTCGCCCTGATTTAATATTGTGGACGCAATTGCCGTAAATATACGCGCCGTCGGCTTCACAGCGGACATGAAATACTCCTGTAGATAGGCCGTCGTGTGGTCCAAATTTGCCAATTTTGAAAATTTCCACCGCAAATTACTCAATTGGAGTATTCGCGGCAATCATCGCCCCCCCTCCTGTGAACATCCGGCAGGATCCTCCTGAAAAAGAGTTCATCGGTTTCCTAGGTGAACAAGCCTAATAAATAAATACCCAGACGCAAGCGTCGATTGCGCTGCACCCACCCACACAAAGGGCCGCCCGCGATGATCGAGCACCTATTCTAGATTGAAAGCTTTCGTGACTGCTAGGATCCATACTCTTTGGTTCTATTGGGTAAAGTCACGTAG